GTGGCCAAAGTATTTGTGTTTCCTCTTCAGGATCTGGCCTTCTAAAGAGCAGTCAGGGTTGATCTCCTCTAGGACTGACTGGTTTGATCACCTTGCAGTCCAAGGGACTCGCAGGAGTCTTCTCCAGCACCAGAGTTCAAAGGCCTCAGTTCTTTGGTGCTCAGCCTTCCTTATACAATATAACTTATTGCGGCATGTATATATGTATATTCCTTATAAAATACAACCTTGCTGTAGTGTCCCCCAAATACTACTGCAGGATATTGAAGTGGTTTTTTGTTCCTTATTTGCCAGTTTCCCTGTGCTGGTCAGTTTCCCATACACCTTATCCAATAAAAGACTTGCTTGTGTAGCTGTTAGTCACTTTCACTCTACAGGCCTCCTTTGCTTTTCTCTGGAGCCATCTATGCCCTGGTGTCTTTAAGTACATTTCACATAATTTTAATTTGGGGAGATGTCCAAATAGGGTGTTGGGGGACAGGCACACAAACTAGGCTGGGAAATTCTGGGAGTTGAAGCCCACCCATCTTCAAGTTGCAAAGATAAGAAAACAAATCTCGGAGATCAACTTGTTGAAAACCAGTTTTGTGTCTTAACCGGGTATGTATGTATGTATGTATGTATGTATGTATGTATGTATGTACACACACACACACACACACATATATGTCTTAAGTTTTCACGGGTGTGTGTATGTAAAAAGTTAAAATCTCGGGTATTTTCCCGCGTCATTATAAGTTTGTTAGTTAAAATGCTTAAAATCCTGGTTGTGATCTAAGCTGTGATCTTAGCCAGGATTTTAAACATTTTAACTAACAAACTTATAATGACCCGGGAAAACACCCGAGATTTTGCCTTTTTACACACACACACACACACACACACACACACACATATATATAAAGTGTTTTTCTATCGAGACACCTGGTCTGTCCCAGCATGTGGGAGGGAGCGTACTGCATCCCTTTTGCCTTTCAGCTCCAATCCAGGAGCCCTCAAGCAGTCGCATTCACAACAAACCATTTTTATACCAAATTTATATTTCGCTGATAAAGAAATAGAGGAAGACTAGTATAGATCTGCCCCACATGCTGGGGCAGACCAGGTGTCTCGATAGAAAAACACTTAATCTTTCCCCTGGCTCAAGCTGATGAAGGGAGGAGAACTTGTGACTCAGAGGTTAATACAATTGCTTAACATGCAGGCAGCCCAAGTTTGAATCCAAGAAAGGGTATGGCTAGCTGATGAGAGCTAAATAGCTTGAAATAGATCTATACTAGTCTCCCTCTATTTCTTTATCTTTCTCATTAAAACCAAGAATCCTCTTTACTCTTGTCCAGCGAGTATAGGTCATCCTTGACTTACGACCATTCATTGAGCAATGATTCGATATTGCGGCACTAAAAAAGTGATTTACGACCCGCCTTCACATTTCAGCATCCCGTGATCATGTGATCAAAATGCAAGTGCTTGGCAACTGGCATGTGTTTATGATGGTTGTAGCATCCCAGGGTCACATGATCACCATTTGCGACTTTTCCAGCACAGCTTCCAACAAGCAAAGTCAATGGGATAAGCTGGGTTGGCTTAACCACCGTGTGATTTACTTAACAACAGCAGTGATTTGCAAAACCTGACAAAAGAGGCTGTAAAACCAGGCATGATTTAACAATCGCCTTGCTTAGCAACAAAAATCCTGGCGATGATGGTCGTAATTTGAGGACTACCTGTAACTATTCCTAGAAATGAATTTATGGCATAAAAAATTCTGACTACAGGTAATCTTTAATTTATGACCACAGTGGAGCCCAAAATTTCTGTTGCTAAGTAATTCATTTGTTAAGTAAACTTTGCCTCATTTCACGACTTTTTTTGCCACGGTTGTTAACTGAATCACTGCACTTATTAAATTAGTAACACGGTTGTTAAGAGAATCTGGCTTCCATATTGACTTTGCTTACCAAAATGGATCACATGACCCTGGGACACGGCAACTGTTATAAATATGAATCAATTGCCAAACATCTGAATTTTGATCACATGACCCTGGGGATGCTGTAATGATTGTAATTGTGAAAAATGGTCATAAGTCACTTTTTTCAATGGCCTTGTAACTTTGAACGGTCACTAAATGAACTGTTGCAAGTCGAGTCCTATCTGTACACAGATACAACAATTGAAGCCTTTGCAAGTAAACATATAAGTAAGGAAAAAGTTAGCAAGAATTTATGCACTTCCCTTGTAACCACACGGTGAATAGAGCTGAGCACAGCTCCATAGCACAAAATATGTTTTGAAGCACAGGTGGGAGTGGTTGTTACACCAAACGGACCTTTTTCTGAAGTTATGAAGCCAAGGGATCCCTGAAGATCAAGCAATGGGGATAGAAGCGATCCATCCGTGATCTCACCAGCCTCCTGGATAGTGAACTCTAAATTTGCTTTTCTATTTGGCAACGGGCCTTTTGGGCAGTTGATTTAAGAAGTTTTCCTTGACATTTTTTCCTTTCTATAAACCTTCACCCATCGATGTGGTTCAAGTGGAAATATCGAAAAGGGAGTAAAAGAAGAATATAAAACTTTATTAATCCACAGGCTTTGAAAGTCATGTCATGGCCTGCCCTGTGAAACTGAGCCAGAGTAGATCGAAGAATTTTAAAAGTGGGTGAAGCAAGAATACTACTACACAACTGTCAATGTGATCGGATAAGTAATACGTAAGCAAACCACGCTCTGCCCCTTGGTTAAATCAATCTGTCCTGTGACACCAGAGTGTCATTGAGAGACAGCAGAGTATGAGTTAATACTTAGGCACTGCCTGTTAAATGAACACAGTTGTTGTGTTAAATCCCATTGTTTAAATCAAGGGTGGGCTTCAAAAATTTTACCAAGGGTTCTCTGCCCAGTTGCTGGGTGGGCATGGCCATGGTGGGCGTGACCTAGTCGGCCACCTGTACCATGGCAGGAGAGGGGGATTTGCCCTCCCCGGGCTCCAGAGGCTTTTCTCGAGCCTCCGAGAGGGCAAAAACAGCCTCCCCAGGCTGCAGAGGCCAGAAATGGGCCTATTTCTGGCCTTTTGAACTTCCGGTAGGCCGGCTTTTCACCCTCCCTGAGCCTCCATGTGCACCCTGCACTTACCTGCATCCAAAACAGGTTGCGTGGGGACTCCTGGGAGGGGAGGGGCAGGGTCGGTGGGGCCAGCCAGAAATGGGATTTGGGAGTTCTCTGAACTGCACAGAATCTTAGCTAGAGGTTCTCCCGAACCCCTGCAAACCCACAGCAGCCCACCCCTGGTGTAAACCCCATTAATGTGGGTTTAAAATGTCTGAACCTTGCTTTACATGGATCTCCCTTCTCTGACATCTTGGCTGTTTAAAACTCAACAAACAGGGTCTTTTTTTTTTTAAAGGGAATTATCATTATTGTTCCACTGTTTTCTAATGAGCTGCTCACCTGGGGCAGACATGTTTTTATTATTTGTCAGACAACAATTACCAATTTGAAAGAAAAAACCTAAAATGTGATAGGGACCATCGGCAGGTTAAACACACTAACTTGCATAAACAACCCCAAGATGCTTTTTTTCCAAGAGGCAACTGGATTTTCATGGGGTTTTTTGTCCTTTGGAAACGTTTCGTTTCAAATGAAAACAACAAGGAAGTCCAGGTGCCTTTTGGGGAAAAAAAAGAAAAAGCACTTTTGGGACAACCACGGCCAGGATGATAGAAAATCTCCACAGCACATAAACAACCGTACCAGATGCCTTTTGCAACAGTTGAAAAAGACTCATTCACAACCAGCAAGTTTGCCTTCGAGCTCAATCAAAGCTCCCTGTTAGGTCCCAAAGGTGTTTTTTTCAGAAGGCAACTAGACATGTTTTTTTCTTCGTTTTGAAGACGTTTCGCTTCTCATCCAAGAAGCTTCTTCAGCTCTGACTGGATGTTGGGGAATGGAAGGATTTATATTCCTTGCAGACAGCTGGTCATCTCCATCCTTTTTAGAGGGCCGTTGAAGCACTTGGAGGTTTATCTGTGTCCTCAGGGCAGTGGTGAAATTAAAAAAAATTTACTACCGGTTCTGTGGGTGTTTACTACCGCTTGGTGGGTGTGGTAGGGAAAAGATACTGCAAAATCCCCATTCCTTCCCCACTCCAGGGGAAGGATACTGCAAAATCCCCATTCCCTCCCCACTCCAGGGGAAGGATACTGCAAAATCTCCATTCCCACCCCACTCTGGACCCAGCCAGTGGTGGCATTTGCCGGTTCTCCGATCTACTCAAAATTTCTGCTACCAGTTCTCCAGAACCTGTCAGAACCTGCTGGATTTCACTCCTGCCTCAGGGTCACCTGAGTGGGGCTCCTGGTTCCTGTAGTCTGCATTTTTTTTCCCTCAGGAAATCCATTCCTAACTCCCACACCATTCAAAGGGGTGAATCTTTACCAGACACCCAGCTTTGAAAAGGCTTCAAAGAGAAACCAAGAAGGTCGAGTTGCCTCTTGAAAAAGCACCTTTGGGACAACCATGACCTGGATGACTGAGAATTCCCCATAGACACTCCTGTTAGGCTTACAGCGGCTCTCTGCACAACAACCCCACACCTTAAACCAGCATAACTGAAAATAAACTGAGGCACGACCCCAAACCTCCCTCAGCAACATTTGGAAGTTGTGGGTGCTTCATCACTGGAGGTTTTTAAGAGGAGACAGCCGCTTGTCTCAAATTGTATAGGGTCTTCTGCTGCTGCTGCTTGCGCAGGGGGTTGGACTAGAAGACCTCCAAGGTCCCTTCCAACTCTGTAACTTTTAACCTCCAAGGTCCCTTCCAGCTCTTACTCCGATAAAGGAAGCAAAGTGAAGTTGCAGGGCCTCGTGGGCGGCCAAGATGCAAAAGCCCAAGGGCAAAGGAGTGTTGCAAACAGCCCTGCGGCTGAGAAAAAGCAAGCAAGACTTTGCACTTTGCAACACAAAAGCCGAGAGAGGGAGGAGCGAGCTTTCCTGCTGCCTGGGCTGAGCAAAAAGTGGGGTTGGGCGGACGGGCGGGACGGCTCCCAGCAACCCGACGGGTCGGCAGAAGCAGAGAGGTGCAAGGAGCAGAAAGCAGCCCGGCTTGGGTCGGTAGGCAAGAACGGGGTCTCTCTTTGGGGGCAGACTCGGGTGGGTGGGTGGGTGTCTGAAAGGCGCGCGCGTGGAAAAGAGGCCCGCTTTTGCAAGGCGCGCGCGGTTCCTTTCTCCCTGAAAAAGCGGGAAAAGCGTTTTTGCAAAAGTGGCGCCCCGCTTGGTTAGCGCGGCTTGCCGCGAATTCCTACATGGGAGGGTGGTGTGTGTGTGTGTGTGTGTGCGAGAGAGAGAAAGTGAGTTGAGTGAAAGCTGGGCGGTGTTTCCCGTAAGAGATCAGTGCAAATCTCTCTCTCTCTCTCCGCACGCCTCCCCTCTGGGACTGTGGGAAACCTGCTCACTTGCACGTGTAGAGACGCGCGCCGATCTGCGGGAAGACGGTCTGGTGTGGTTGGAAGAGGGGCGTCTGTAGGTCAGGCCCTTGAACTGAGAAGAAGGCCCTTGGTGCGCTGCGGACACCCATGACACAACTCTGACCCGGATGACTGAGAATCCCCACGGACTTTGCTAGCAGACGTTTCATTCCCCCCCCCCCCAATTAGGTAGCAATTATGAGTGGTGGGGAGCGTGGGAGCAAACCTCACCCTCAACCCTGAGGATGTGATCTACTACAGGTAATAATCCTCCACTTCTGACCGCAATGGAGCCCAACGTTTCTGTTGTTAAGTGAGACATTTGTTAAGCGAGTTTTGCCGGGGCCCCCCTCTTTCCCCCACAATTGTCAAGTGAATCGCTGCAGTTGATAAAAAGTTAGCAACCTGGTTGTTAAGTGAATCTGGCTTCCCCATTGACTTTGCTTGTCGGAAGGTCGCAAAAGGGGACATTGGGACACAGCGACGGTCATAAATATGAACCAGTTGCCAAAGCGTCTGGGTTTTGATCGCAGGATCATGGGGATGCTGCAAAGATCAGAACTGAAACAACGGGCCGTAAGTCGTATGTTTCAGTGCCGCTGTAACTTTTTAACAGTCACTAAACAAAGTGTTGTAAGTCGAGGACTATCTGTAGTCGGAGAATGAAACATCTGCAAGCAAGCAGCCAAACTGGGGCAGAGCAGAGCACCAAGGACTCCAGGACTCTGCTTATAGCTCCCTGAAACCCTGATTTGTCGCCTCGCTTCCAAGAAACGGTGGTTTTTTTCCAGAAGGGCTGTGGAGAAAACTGGGGGTTTGCATCCTACTCATCTCACTGGAGGATTGCACAACTTGGCCGTAGTTCAGAGTGCAACTCAAACTTAATTACTCAACAGTAAATCTGATATGATTGCAAAATGCAAATGGCATTTGTATAGAGATTAAGCAATCAACTTACTTTGATTTAAGACCAAAGGTAGATTTTACTTTAGTGCCGGTGGAAAGCAGGTTGAGTTCTCACCCACCTGTCAAACTGGTTCAGCCTTAGCTGGTGGTTCACAATTGCTCTGTCCTTGAGTGTAGAAAGGGGGGGGGGATCAAGGCAATGGGAGTTCATAGTTGCACAAGATGTTAGTTCACTTTTGGCCCAAAGTGAGGTCCACCTGCAAGATGCAAACGAGATACAGATTTTGCCATCTGTGCAAATTCAATTGCAGCATCAGCTGAGCCAGGAATAGTGTGAGGATGAAGTAAAAAATAATTTTTAAGTTGTGTTATCTACTTTGAGGAGGAGAAAATGATTACAGGTCACAGTAGCTGGCTTCACATCAAAGGAGGAAGCTGAAGAAATCACATAGTGGTTTTGTGCAGGATAATTTCCCAGCCAAAACGGGAAGGAGTGGCTTTCTGTTTGGCTATTGGATTGGTTCTGTGGGAAGTACACCCCAAAAGGACAGTGCCTGGAGCCACTAAAGCAGTGCCAAAAGACTTTAAAACGGCCCTGCCCCTTTAAGAAATTCAAACCCCAAAGCAAAAGCACCAGCTGAAAGAAAAACTCAAAGCAGCCAAAAGCCATTAATGGCTATTACAGAGATAACAAAGCCTGACCATAAAGCAGATCCTGAAAATACGTAAAACCAGCTTAAAATAACTCACCAAGAACTCATATTTTTCTCTTCCCTGACCGAATTAACCCCCAGGATAGGAAAGACAAAGGCTCAGGGAGAGAATTAACCCATTAAGGTAGGAAGACAGAACTCGGGGCAATCACTTTAACTAGAGACACACAAACAACCCCATCAAACTGTAGGAGCTTCAAAGGAAAATAAGGCATGGGTTTGCCTCCCCAATCTGCTTGCAAGCTAGGAACGCTGGAGCTGTGTCACTTTTGCTTCTTGCCTTTCTACATTAAAAGAATTCTGCTTTCTGGCAGCTGGCTTCTGAATCCATTTCTTCTCAGCATCTGTGCGGTGTCCCAGCTGAGGACAAACACAGGAGTTTTTCTTCCAACAATTCAATGTTAAGGCTTTTACATACAGGTCATAATCTAAAGTTTAGCGATAGACTGAGATCAGTGGAAAAGATTGGTTTTAAATACCAGAGGAGTGTAAATCCAGAGAAAAAAATGCAGTACTCATTTATTTATTTATTTATTTATTTATTTATTTGATTTCTTTCCACCTGTATTTTTATGAATACAGGTAATCTTCAACTAATAAACATTCGTTTAGTGGCCATTTGAAGTTAACAATGGCACTGAAAAAAAGTGACTTATGACCATTTTTCACACTTCTGACCCTTGCAGTGTCCCCGGGATCATGTGATCACCTTTTGCGACCTTTTGACAAGCAAAGCCAGTGGAGAGGTTAGATTTGCCTAACAACTGTGTTACTGACTTAACAATTGCAGTGATTCACTTAACTGTGGCCAGAATGGTCGTAAAATGGGCCAAAATTAATTTCACAAATATCTCTTAACAAGAGAAATTGGGGGCTCACTTGTGGTCGTAAATCGAGGACTACCTGTAACTCAAGGCGGTGAACATTCTTAATGCTCCTTTCTGCACCTATTTTCCTCACAACGACAACTCTGTGAGGCGAGTTGGGCTGAGAGAGAGTGCAACTGGGCCAAAGTCACCCAGCTGGCTTTCATGCCTAAGGTAGGACTTCTTGTGGTCCGCCAGCAACCTGCGGAGCTGGCAGCGGAGTCGGACAGCGATGAGGCTGAGGAAGAACATGGGCCAGTCCTGGAGGCTGGGGAAGGCCCGGATGAGGGCTCTGCCTCGAAGGCAGAGATGGGGCCAGGGCCATCAGGGAGTGATGTGCAGACTCCGGAGCCTCCAGAGGCTGACAGTAGAGAGGCAGAGGAACAGGAGGAGCCTGTTCCTAGTGCACATATGACAAGAGCTGCCAGAAGGCAAGAGCAGCTAAAGCAAAGAGGACGACTCGGGAGTAGGGCCAAGAGATGATTGGCCCCTCCCATAAGGCTTAAAAGACCAGCAACGGCTCTTGGCCTCTTTGCCGGAAAACAACGTTGATAGACTTGGTTCTTATTTTGCTCGGAGTCCTCTGCTTCTGAACTTTTGTCAAGAGAAGCCTTTGGCAGTTTGCCTAATTATATCCAGGTTGGTGATAAACTGAGGAATGGTGTTTTGAAGAATTTGCATTAATTTAGTTTGGACTACGCTGAGAAAGAGTTAATTCTCAGCTGTTCTAATAAAGTCTGTTTGTTTTCGAACTGTTTGCATTTAATACTAACTACTTGAGCCTGGGTCACAACAGGACTAGAACTCACTGTCTCCTGGTATTAACTTTAGCACTTTAGGGATTACCTTGAGTTGGATTTTAACTGATTCTTTCCGGGAATTCTTGACTCAGATTTTGTGGAATCTTTTGCTTCTTAATGCCATGGATGATTCCCCATGGCACACCTTTCCATTTTCAACCAAACCTCTTCAATTGGTTGCGGCAGCAGTTTAGCAAAGGTGTAAATTTAGGCCTAGCTTATCCAAGGCCCCAGCACTATCACAGAGGAGAAGAAAACGAATGCGGGATTTTACAGCAAAATAAAAACGATGTGTTCGGCCAGGTCTGGTTAAAGCACCATTTATTTTCGTAAGTGCTGTTCGGTCAGCCTCGACGGAAGGTATATTACAGGTAGTCCTCGAATTAACGACAGCAGTTGGGGGCCAGAATTTCCATTGCTAAGCCAGATGGTTGCGAAGTGAGTTGCACCTGATTTTACAGGCATTTCGCCACAGTGAAGGAAATCAATGTGGTTAAGTGAATCATGCGGTCACTAAATGAATCCTGTTTCCCCGCATTGACTGCTTTGGGGAAGCCAACTGGGAAAGTCACAAATGACGATCAAATGATCTGCAGCTGTCATAACTACATGCCAGTTGTGAAGCAAGCAAAATTTGATCATGTGACCATGGAGATACTGCAAAGGTTGTAAAAAAAAATCAGAATCAGAAAGTGCTGGAAGGGACCTTGGAGGTCTTCTAGTCCAGCCCCCTGCTCAAGCAGGAGACCCTGCACCATTTCAGATAACCGGCTGTTCAGTCTCTTGTTAAAAGCCTCCAGTGATGAAACACCTACAACTTCTGAAGGCAAGCCATTCCAGTGGTTAATTGTCCTCACTGTTAGGCAGTTTCTCCTCAGTTTCAGGTTGCTTCTCTCCTTGGTTAGTTTCCATCCATTGTTTCTTGTCTTGCCCTCTGGTGCTTTGGAGAATAGGTTGACCCCTCTTCTTTGTGGCAGCCCTTCAAATACTGGAATACTGATGTCCCAGTGGTGAAATCCAATTTCTTTTGGGGGGGGGGATTTTACTACTGGTTCTGTGGATGTGGCTCAGTGGGCCTGGCAGGGGAAGGATACTGCAAAATGGATTGATTGATTGGTTGGATTTATATGCCCCCCTTTTCCGGAGACTCAGGACGGCTTACAATGCATTAAGCAATAGCCTTCATACTTTTGTATATACCTGCTTAATAGGGCTTTCGCCCCCCCCCCCCCAAGTGGTGTTCTTTTTTATACAAAGTCAGCTTATTGCCCCCACAATCCGGATCCTCATTGTTCCTACCTCGAAAGCATGGAAGGCTGAGTCAACGTTGAGCCTGGTGAGATTTGAACTTGCAGTAATTTCAGGCAGCTGGTGTTACTTAACACTGCTTTAGTCTGCTATGCCACCAAGGGTCCTTGGTGCCGCTATTTCCCAATCCCCATTTCCTCCCCATTCCAGGGGAAGGATACTGCAAAATCCCCATTCCCACCCCACTCGGGCCAGCCAGAGGTGGCATTTGCCGGTTCTCTGAACTACTCATAATTTCCGCTACCGGTTTTCCAGAATCTGTCAGAACCTGCTGGATTTCACCCCTGGCCAGAACCAGAAAAGGTACCTACAAGCAGGGTTTTTTTTTATGTGTACGGAAAAAGAACAGGAAATCATTGAACACTCATACAAAAAGCCTATGAGTTTTGCTTATTTCAAATTAAATGACATCTAATTTAGCTTTGTCCTGGCACAATCATTTTTTGATCCTCATCTCACTTAAGCCAAATCCAAGTTAAACATAATGATTTGGCATGACAGGTGACCTGTACACCTTGAAGCAAGAACAACCGTTCCAAACCCAAGAACATTAGTGATGGAATGTAGTTAAGCAGGTGGACTCCGAGGACGGAGGGGGTGCATTCTGGAAGAGGGAGTCAGAGGCAGCTCAGCCCAGATAGGATCGGGGAGAGAAAGAGGGTGAAGACAGCCCCTCCCTAACAGTACACAGAGTATATGTTGTAAAAAAGGGAGTTAATGTAGATGCAAACAGAACAGTGAGCAACAAAGATGATTACAAGGCTGGAGGCTAAAACGTATGAAGAACGGTTGCAGGAATTGGGTATGTCTAGATTTTTTTTTTTTTAATTTATTTTTATATGCCGCCCTTCTGCGGAGACTCGGGGCGGCTTACAATGCGTTATGCAATAGCCTTCATACTTTTGTATATTTTATACAAAGTCAGCTTATTGCCCCCACAAACCAGGTCCTCATTTTACCCACCCTAGAAAGGATGGAAGGCTGAGTCGACCTTGAGCCTGGTGAGAATTGAACTCGCAGTAATTGCAGGCAGCTGGATGTTAAATGCTGTCTTAGTAGGAGGCATTAGCCTCCTACACCACTCAGGCTCAATTAATGAAAAGGACAAGGAGTGACATGATAACAGCATTCCAATATTTGAGGGGCTACCACAAAGAAGGGGGGAGGGGTTTCAACCTCTTCTCCAAAGCAACAGAATGGATGGAAACTAATCAAGGAGAGAAGCAACTTGGGAGTAAGACGAAACTTCCTAACAGTGAGAACAATTAACCAACGGAAGGGCTTGCCTTCAGAAGTTGGGAGTGCTCAGTCACTGGAAGTTTTTAAGAGACCGGATGGCCGCTTGTTCGGAATGGCTGGGCTGGAAGACCTCCAAGGTCCCTTTCAATTCTGTTATTTTGATATTCAGTGCTTATTCTGGCAAAAAAAAAATTTTTTTTTTGCTTTAATTTATATGCCGCCCTTCTCCGGAGACTCAGGGCGGTTTACAATGCGTTTAGCAATAGCCTTCATACTTTTGTATATTTATACAGTCATCTTAACGCCCCCACAATCTGGGTCCTCATTTTACCTACCTTTGAAAGGATGGAAGGCTGAGTCAACCTTTTGAGCCTGGTGAGATTTGAACTTGCAGTAATTGCAAGCAGCAGATGTTAATAACAGTGCTTTAGTCCACTGTACTACAGGCTTTTGTCTATAGATATGAAATTTTAAAAAGAACTCAGCTTGGAAGAATCACCACACATCATTCTTGGTTTGGGGCAGTGGTGAAATCCAATTTTTTTTTACTACAGGTTCTGTGGGCGTGGTGTGGTTTGGTGGGCGTGGCTTGGTGGGCATGGCGGGGGAAGGATACTGCAAAATCTCCATGCCCGCCTCACTTCAGGGAAGGATACTGCAAAATCCCCATTCCCTCCCCATTCCTGGGGGAAGGATGTGGCAAAATCTCCATTCCCACCCCACTCTGGGGCCAGCCAGAGATGGTATTTGCCGGTTCTCCGAACTACTCAAAATTTCTGCTACCGGTTCTCCAGAACCTGGCTGGCCCCAGAGTGGGGTGAGAATGGAGATTTTGCAATATCCTTCCCCCAGGAGTGGGGAGAGAATGGGGATTTTGCAATATCCTTCCCCCAGGAGTGGGGAGGGAATGGGGATTTTGCAATATCCTTCCCCAGGAGGGGGGAGGGAAGGCGGGGGGGGGGGGGAATGGGGATTTTGCAATATCCTTCCCCCAGGAGTGGGGAGGGAGTGGGGATTTTGCAGTATCCTTCCCCTGGAGTGGGGAGGGAATGGGGATTTTGCAGTATCCTTTCCCTGCCAAGCCCACAAAGCCACACCACACCACACCCACCAAGCCACGCCCACAGAACCGGGAGTAAAAAAAATTTGGATTTCACCTCTGGTTCTGGCTAGTAATTCAAGATAAATTCCCTTATATCTACCACGTGGCAGAAGTAGCAATGCAGATAATCCCAGTGTTAGGATCTTTTATGGCTATTTGCAGCGTCCTGCAGTCACGCAACCACAATTTAGAATGTTCTTGCCAGAAACGGGGATTTAGTTCCTTTTTCCAGCAAAATCACCCTATAGTGAACAATGCTTAACCAGCATGTTCGCTTAATGATCATAAAAGATAAAATCAGGCCTGGTTATATGATAACAGAATAACAGGGACCTTGGAGGTCTTCTAGTCCAGGGGGGTCCCCAAACATTTTAAACGGGGCCAGTTCAAGGTCCCTCAGACTGTTGGGGGGCTGAGTGGGTGTGGTTAGGTGGTCATGTGACTGGCTGGGCGTGGCCAATTTAGCAGTCCGTTAAACAATACATACAAATTACACTTTAATTTGTTATGCTCCTGGGGGTGAAAAGTAGGTTAGTGAAGGGATGTGGCTGCCTTGGGGTATGTGTGAGGGACTTCCTTGTGTGTGTGTGTGTGTGTTTCTCTTTCTCTCTCTCTCTCTCTCTCTCTCTCCCTCCCTCCCTCCCTCCCTCTCTCTTTCTCTCTCGAGGCCGGGGAGTACTGTTCTGCTACCCAAAAAACGGATCCGTTTTTGGCCTCTTCGGCCTCCAGAAGGTGGGTGGAGGCCAATAGGTAGGTGAGGCGATGTGGGCGGGGCAGCCTCATGGTCTCGCGCGGGCCGGATTAATGCCTTCAGCGGGCCGTAGTTTGTGGACCCCTTGCTCAAGCAGGAAACCCTATACAGGAAGTCCTCGACTTACAACAGTTCTTTTAGTGACTGTTCAAAGTTACAACAGCATGGGAAAAAGTGACTTATGACCGTTTTTTTCACACAATCGTTGCAGCCTATCAAAATGCAGATGTTGGCCACTGACTCATATTTATGAAGGTTGCCGTGTCCCAGGGCTATGCGATCCCTTTTGTGACCTTCTGACAATTAACAACCATGTTGCGAACTTAGCAACTGCAGTGATTCACTTAACAGCAGTGGCAAAAAAAAAAAAAAAAGACCGTGGACTGGGGCAAAACCCACTTCACAAATGTCTCACTTAGGAAGAGAAATTTTGGGCTCAATTATGGTTGTACGTCGAGGACAAGGTGTATCATTTCCGACAAATGGTTGTCCGATCTCTACTTAAAAACCTCCAGACTAACACAGTTTATGTCTGTAGTTTTAGGCTCACGTTGGATACAACTACGGACATAAACTCTGTTAGTCTGAAGGACAGCCTGAATCGCATCTTGAATGTTTGTACTTTATGCTTTTCTTCCTTTCACTTTTTGTTTCAGGTCTTTAGCGGAAACTGTGCCAAGATGCGAAACGTCCATGGATTCCTGGATAATGATGTCACTCTGGCATTTATCAGATATGGAACCATTATTGTAGTGAAAATGATGCTCATGAGCACCATCACAGCTTTCTTCCGAATGAAGAAAAAGGTGAGAGGCGAAGGTTGGAGTTATGAAAAAACAATGTATGAAGTGAGACTTCTGTTGGCATCCTTGTTAGTTATGTTAATTACGGTAATAATAACCAAAGATCTGAAAAAGTATTGGGATGCAATAAGAATGGGTAGAAGTTCAGTTCATCAGCTTAAAACTATAGCATTACTAAGGATGGTGCATATATTATTCATAGCTGTGTTAGGTCTTTAAGAAAGACCAAATATAAATGATCCTTGACTTAACAATTGTCTTAGAAAAGGTACTTTACAGCCCATAAATCATTTTTGGCCATCATAAAGTGTTGCAGCTCGACATCGCCCAGCGTAGTAGGTAACTACCCTATTTCCCCCAAAATAAGACATCCCCTGATAATAAGCCCAATAGGGCTTTTGAGTGCATGGCAATAAGGCCAAGTGCTTATTTCAGGGTTCAAAAAAATATAAGACAGGATCTTATTTTCGGGGAAACATGGTACATTTTGGTCAGTTGGCAACTGGCTCACATTTACAACTGGTTGCCAAGTGCCTCACAACTCTGTGATCACCATTTGCAATCTTCTCTGCCGGCTTCCCCAGGAAGTAAATGGGGAAGGCAGCAGGGGAGGTTGCAAATTAAGGGGGCTGAAATCTCTACTTTTCTCTTACTTCACAGAAAGAAACTCCACAGCCCTACAAAGGTTCAGGAAGGAGAACGGAAATCCTTTGGTGGGCTGCAGGGGTGTATGAGACCAAAAGGGCTGCCTTCTGGGAAGATTTCACCTCCATGCGGACCTGAAATCTGTGGGCAGGCAGCTTTTTCCACGTTTGTTTAACAACGTGGGAGACAGCTTAACACCTGTAACCGGAAGTGCTGGGTTTGTGGCCGTTGAGCAAAGCAGTTATGTTGGTGTCTTAATGACTGCTTCATTCAGTGACCAAGATTCTGGTCTTAATCGAGGACTACCTGTAGTCAGCAGTACTAACTCCACTCAGAATTATCTGATAGACTAGGTGAATAGCAATAACAATAATAATCATAGGTGTAGTGGTAAGCCAGAGTGGCATATCACTTTATTCAATACTGCAATATTGATTCTAACCACCGTGCCACCACGGCCGACTCTGGCATGGTACCTTATAATTTATTCTGATCTTTCTCCCAAATAGGCATTTGTTAATCCTGAAGATACAGCATCGTTTGGAAAAGGAGAGAATGCGAAAAAGTATCTAAGGACGGATCCTGATGTGGAACGTGTACGGAGGTAATTATGGAGTTTCTTATCAAGCACACACTCATAAAGAAAAAAAGAATACATGGGATGGTAGAGTGCAAAAGACTCTCACCAATGTGCCCGCACTTTATTTTCAATCACTGGCTTAGAAAAAAATATTGAAAGCGCCATCCCTCGGTCCATTAATAACCTTCTTGTTTCTTTGATGATCCTCTGTAGGGGTGAGCAAAACGTTCCGTGACTGTTCGCTTGCACACCCCTGTCTCTCCACTTTCCTGGCCGTGTTTATGATGGCCTGTGCTATTGCAGCATTTCGAGTTTGCATATTTAATTCCCACAGTCAATATGTCATCTAATTCACAGCAGAAATGGGCAGTAGCCTGAATTGGCCATGCTGTTCTTCCGGTGCTGATTTGTGGAATACAATTTGCTGCTTCCCCTTTTTTGTAACAAACCAAAAAAATGTGTTGGAGAGAAGGATAAATTATCCCAAGGCTGATCTTGGGATCATCTTGTTTTGCACAAATAGAAAAAATGAAGCTTTATGTTTTTATTTGGATATATTTATGACCTCATGAATAGATGGCCCTTAATCGAGAAGAAAAGTCAGCCATTTTTCTTTTGAAGATTAATGTGAGTTCAAGAACAGCTGCTAATGTGACCAGTGGGGAAATCCTATGATTGGGACTGTCTTTATGCCAGGACTAGCAAATCTGGGCTGCAAAAGCCAATGCCACCACTAGATGGTAGCAACAGCTCTTTGTGACCCCCTAATGGTCAGTTGGAATGTTACAGCTCAAATTCAGTGACTGCCCCCCCCCCCCCTTTTTTTTAAAAAAAAGAATTGATTTATATGCGCCCTTCTCTGGAGACTCAGGGCGGCTTACAATGCGTTAAGCAATAGCCTTCATACTTTTGTATATTTTTATACAAAGTCAGCTTATTGCCCCCACAATCTGGGTCCTCAATTTACCTACCTTAGAAAGGATGGAAGGCTGAGTCAACCTTGAGCCTGGTGAGATTTGAACTTGCAGTAATTGCAGGCAGCTGATGTTAATAACAGTGCTTAAGTCTGCTGCGCTACCAGAGCTCTTTGCAAAGTTCTCTCCACAATTTTCCCAAGAGTTGCAGAATGGATATGTAGCGTTGTGAAACACCATATCTTGAGCACGGGTTCTTCCAAGATGTCTCCAAATTAAATGCTGAGGGACACTTTCAGGTGTTTCCAACAGGGCAGGCCTTGCAATCCCAAATTGAGTTTGGTGCGATTGCCGTGTTTCTCAAAGGCAGCATCTCAGTTGAAGCACAACATAGAATTTGGGTTCCAGCACAAGTCTGAAAGCTCAAAAGACTAAATCTCTGGTCCCCGTCACTGCAACATTATCCTGGGATACATATATTGGCCTTCATTCATAAGGCCATTTTGTTGGTACCAAATATGAAGAAGCCTTTAACGCTGTGAATCTCCTTTGTTTCTTTCCCTAGAATCCATCTCAATGACCTGGAGAACATTATTCCATTTCTTTTTGCTGGGTTCTTCTACTCTTTTAGTGGTGTGTCCCTCTCCACTGCTTTGCTGCACTACCGAATTTTTCTTGGTTCTAGGATCTTCCACACCATTGCTTACCTGGTGCCTCTTCCCCAGCCCGCTAGAGGTTTGGCTTGGATGGCTGGTTACTTAGTCACCTTTTCAATGATGTACAAGATTATAATGATTGCTTTTACCATGTCTTAGAAAAGAAAGCTAACACTATTTTTAGCTTGTTGTACTTTGGGCAGTGCCTTATCCAGCCAATAGAAGAGAATATATTTAGCTCTGGGTCGAACTATGAAGTCCTCAGTGCTTTCTGAACTTGTTTGTTTGTTTGCAAATGTTACATCACCCAACTAGGTAACACTTTCAGTGCTAGTGAGTATGGAGTTTGCTCCCTGTGCTGCTTTTGGTGGGAGTATGGTTTTCTCCTTGGTGGTTTCTTGATTTGAGGAACTATCAAGGACATATAAACATGACAAATAAATAAATCTGCCCGAATCAAGGAATTATCAAAGAGAAAAACAATGGCCCCACCAAAACTGGCAGGATAAGCTACTGTATATGAATGGAGAAAACCTCCAACCTCCACACTCACTAGCACTGATAATGTTACCTAATTGAGTAATGAAACGTCTGCAAGCTCAATAAGAACCAAGGACTCCACCATTAATTCTTCCTCAAAAAACTCCTTCATATCTGCCTCCCAACTTTCCAGTGCATATTTGTGCCTCCTGGTATGTTGGATCTCTCAGCTGCCTTGTAGACCTGACACTTCTGGAACTCTTTTTGCCATTATATGCTAAAACTGGTGTATGGAGAACCTCTCTTCCAAGGAAATATGTCCCTGATACGTCCTCTTAATGGAGCATCCCTCAATGATAGTGCAAATACTTTGTGTCCTAGGCACAACCTCTGTTAGCATAAAAAGTCACATATAAGGCAACGGTTATATTCTTTGTCTCCCGTTCCTTCCCCTCACTCAATATGTGAGAAATTCAGTGTGAATGATTAAATCTGAGGCCATTATATACACAAAACATTGGCCCTGCCACTGAGGTGATTTCTTTCCACCGTGTCGTCTTTTTTTAAAGTCACTGAAGCTGGTTGCCTCTTTATCCTCTGTTGTTGTCTTGTCTAACGCTTATGTTTTCTATTTTTCAAACAAGATTGCAAGCCATGACATACATGGAGGCAGTTTTCTTTGAAAGTGTCAAATGTGGAAGACTGACAATAAAACAGTGTTCTCTAACTTAGGCCCATCATGATAACTTGGGATCATTATCAATGGTTCTGGCTTAGTAGTAACAAAAGTTGTAGACCACGTTTAGAGAGCTGCAAACTGGAGAAGATTATTACAAAGAATGGTCACCCTCTTTGCCCTTCCAGTTTACATCAATTTGATGGCTGTTGACAAAAAAAAAAAAAAAAACCCAAGGGCGAGTTGGATTTCTGGTTTGATCCACCAAGTCTTTCTTGGATTTGCTTGCAAAACTTACTTGTTTGTTTCACTGTTATGAGAGAAGGGAAGATGTTCTCCACTTTCTAACAGCTGGAACCTGGCCTACAATAAGTGATGGTAGAATCCCTTTTTCCGAGGTATTAATTTTTCTAGGATATTACCGTATTTTTCAGACTATAAGAGACATCTAAATTTAGAAGAGGAAAACAACAACAAAAAGTTTTTCGCCTCCGTGCACCCCATTTTCGGGCTTTTTTTTTTTTGGCCCATTTTCAAAGCTTTTTTTTGGGGGGGGCCCATTTTCGAGGCTTTTTTTGGCCTGTGTTTTCTGAAAAATGAGCCAAAAAAAAGCCTTGAAAACAGGCCCAAAAAAGCCCTGAAAACAGGCCGAAAAAATGGGCCCCAAAAGCCTTGAATATGGGCCGAAAACTCCCCTGAAAATGGGCTGAAAAAAGCCTCGAAAATGGGCTGAAAAAAGCCTCAAAAATGGGCCGAAAAAGGCCTCTAAAATGGGCCGAAAAAGCATCAAAAATGGGCTGAGAAAAGCTCTGAAAACAGGCCAAAAATAGGCTGGAAAATGGGGCTTGTGGAGGCCAAAAAACAGCTGGTGGCGGGGCTTTGGCAATATTCGGTCTTTAAGACGCACAGACATTTTCAGCCCCCCTCTTGGGAGACAAAAAAGTGCATCTAATAGTCTGAAAAATACGGTAATTCTTTAGTTTGTCCTTTCTGAGACACTGCATTATCTCTGCAATAAGTACAGAACATGAATATGGCTTTACTCTATGGTCCATCTTGAGTGGTTGAGATACAGTCTTCCAGATGGCCTTGGAATACAATCCTTTTATCCCTAGTGATTAGCTATGCTAACTGATGAACATTGGAAGTTCAACAGTATCCGGAAAGCCATACATTTTGGTAGGTCCTAAGATTGTAGATCTGGGAAGTTAACAGTGCATTTGAAGCTCCAGCTCTTTAGCCCTGTTAACTTCTCATCTTCATCCTGAGTTGAGTTCCTTGTTTGGTTCCTGAATAGTAAATTTGAGCCTATGGTTCTGAATAATAGTTCCACAACATCTGAAGAGCCATGGATTTCCCACCCCTGTTTTACGTTTTGGGTGCACAAGGCCAGAGGCTAGAAGTTATAAACCAATTCACAGAATTTGCACAGAGAGGATGGGCTTTGAATGTTTCACCACGTTTTGACGTTCCTCGTGTTCTATCAGCATTCCAAATACTTTGGTTTAAATTGAAGCTGGTTTGTGTTCCCATTTCTGTTTGTTAAGATTTGAACCTTGTGAGCAACTTCCTTTATTCCTCCTTTTCTCCTTCACATGTTGTCTTCGCTCACGCAAGCTTTAACGGTTTTTAATGTGCACTCTCTCTCTTTTGAGAGCATATGTGAATAGTAATTTTCTACATATGCTATTTTGGGATGTATCTTTTTGAAGCATAAATAATAAAGGCAACAGCAGGAAAAAAAAGTGTGTTGGAATTTTTGTGGCTGTTTCTTTTTCCCCCCTCCTCCTTGACTACAGTCAGCAAATAAGATGTCACAAAGAATCAGGGACTCAGAGCATCAAGTTCTTTGAAGAATATTTACCTTCATAATAAGATACTGCAAGCAATGCCAGTCCTTGTTGTAAAAGAGACTTTGATACAAATAGGTGTTTTAACCAAGTGCTGGAGTAAATGGAGTAAAACTGGGAATGAAATTTCTCTTAGTCTAATGTAACCTATACAAAGGAGAATATTTTAAGTGGCCCTCATGGTGTCCTAGCAGCTTTCTTGTCATTTTTATTTCTTATAAAATAGAAAAGGCGATTGGACCCTTCAAATCTAAATCCTAAAAGAATAATACATGACCAGAAGTTTATATGTGTACTAGGAATGGGTATCAAATATTTTGGCTACCTAATGAGAAGGAAGGACTCACTGGAGAATAGCCTAATGCTGGGAAAGATGGAGGGCAAAAGAAGAAGGGGACAGCAGAAAACGAGGTGGCTGGATGGAGTCACTGAAGCAGTAGATGTGAGCTTAAGTGGACTCCAGAGGATGGTAGAGGACAGGAAGGCCTGGAGGAACATTGTCCATAGGGTCGCGATGGGTCCGACACGACTTTGCAACTAACAACAACAAAGGAATGGGTAACCAAATTTAGCTTTCCTGACACCATGAAACATCAAAGATAAAACCTGACGAAAAAAAATTTTTTTTGGCATAGAAAGATGGATAAGGAGTCATGTTCCCTGACTTTTTAGAAAATACAAACTCTCCATCAGGTCCCAGAACAGGAATTCTAATGCTAAACAATAAAGCAATGAGCAAGATAACAATCCATGGACTACATTATTTTCAAGAATAGGGCATGACGATGTGGCCAAATGCTTAGAAATTGAGTATGGTATAATTAGTCCTTGACTTTTGACCAAAATGGGGACCGGAATGTCCATTGCTAAATGACACAGCTGTACAGGGTGACATTGCTTCACTGCATTGCTTAGTGACTCCAATTCTAGCAGTCCGTAGTGTTGTTGTAACTCCAGATGCATGGGTTGTTAAATGGGAAGTGGATGGTGTCCCAGGTAAGGAGCATGGGCTGCCTTGAGGGTTGGGGAAAGTCCTGGGCAGGCTACATGTGAGTTATAACTGAATAAAATGTACTTTGACTGCAACTCACTCGAGCAACACGATGAACTTTGACCATATTGCATATTGTATATTACTATTCTGGCAATAAAAGACTCGGTTCAAAGGCTGAGAATGCACAACCTTTGGTATCTGACATGTAAGCCTCTTTCCAAGTTCACAGTATTCTTTTTTACATTAATCCAGACTTGGTAGATCCCAATTTTTCATAAATCGAAGGATAGGTAAAGGTTCTCCTCGCACATATGTGCTAGTTATTCCTGACTCTACGGGGCAGTGCTCATCTCTTGTTTCAAAGCCGAAGACCCAGTGCTGTCTGAAGACGTCTCTGTACTCATGTGGCCGGCATGACTAAATGCTAAAGGTGGATGAAACGCTGTTCCCTTCCCACCAAAGGTGGTCCCTATTTTTCTACTTGCATTTTTTTACGTGCTTTCAAACTGCTAGATTGGCAGAGGCTGGGACAAGTAACGAGCTCACCCTGTTGGGATTCAAACCGCTGAACTGCCGACCTTTCGATCGACAAGCTCAGCATCTGAGCCACCACATCCCATTTAAATCGAAGGATATCGTATACATTAAATAAATAAATAGACTAATTCCAACATTTTTGAATACATACGGTTTTCAAATTAACATTTGAAGTCATATACTTCTAGGAAGTCAACTTCACCTTTGGGACAACTATGACCTGGATGACAGAATCTCCATAGACATTTAACTTCCGTGTCTTCTACCAGTGTCTGGAATTTGTGTGAATTGGGAGAAACAAACGTGGGTTCAATCCTGTCAGGACCATGTGGCTGTAGATTTGGGACCTCTTGGATCTCAGTCAGTGGTGGGTTTCAATATTTTTTACTACCGATTCTGTGGGTGTGGTTTGGTGGGTGTGGTATGGCTTGGTGGGCGTGGCAGGGAAAGGATACTGTAAAATCTCCATTCCCTCCCCACTCCAGGGGAAGGTTACTGCAAAATCCCCATTTCCTCCCCATCAGCTGGGACTTGGGAGGCAGAGAACAGATGGGGGCGGGGCCAGTCAGAATTTTTACTACCGGTTCTCCGAACTACTCAAAATTTCCACTACCGGTTCTCCAGAACTGGTCAGAACCTGCTGAAACCCACCTCTGATTTCAGTGCTTTCTATCTTTAGTCTTACAAGGAATTGACCTTCCTCCTTTGAGACTGATTATAATCAGGGGGGTCATCTTCAACTTGGAACTTCTGTTCAAAGAGGGCAGTTGTGTCCAAGGGGACCTTTGCAGCTTCATGTGTCGCTCCAGTTGCATCCATTCCTTGGTTAGGCATTCTTCCAGATGGTCTCTCATGCCCTAGTCACCTCATCACAACTCCAAGTCTCTACATGGGACTGCCTTAGAAGCTACAGCTGGGCGCTGGGCATGTCCAGATGCTTACATAACCTCTATATACCATTTGCTTCTATGTGAACTCAAGGTGCTTTAAAAACTCTATATGGCAGGGGTGTCAAACTCAAGGCCCGGGGGCCAGATCCGTCCCGTGGGGTGCTTAGATCTGGCTGGCGGGACCACCCTGGAAACAGCAAAGGACCAGCCCACGGTGCCTCTGCCAGTGAAGTGCCGTGGGCAGTCCTCCCGAGCTCCGTTTTCACTGGCAGAGGGTTGCAGGAAGCTGTCACAGCTGAAAACAGCCCGGGAACCCATTTTTGTTGGCAGAGCTCTCGAGCCGCCAAAGGGCCCCTGATTCTCTTCCCTCCCATCCCCCTTTCCTTAGATGGCATGTATGTTAGAAGGCCAGCCAATGAGTAGGGGCTGTCTGGCCCTTTATATTTCTAACCCAGTGGTGGGTTCCTCCCAGTTCCGCCAAGCTGGTAGCGGTGATGATATGATGTCACCGAACCGGTTCCGCCCCTCCGTGTTATTCTTACCTTTTATTGGGCCCCACCCCCAATCTATTGCTGCCTCCTGAGTCCCAGCTGATCGGCTAGAAGGAAAAAAACTGTTCAAACTCTTGCCACGGGGCTTCAAAGGGCCGCCCTACAGCTGATCAGTGGTAAAAGGCAGTTTGGTGGTAGACGGTTGCCTCCAAAAACAACTGAGTAGACCGATGCCTGCAAAAATAAATGGGTAGACAGGTACAGCTCTGCAAGCAGTTAAAAGCCCGGTAGACCAGTACCTCTGCTAAATCCTAAAGAATTGTCACATGACCATCAAGCCATGCCCACAAAATAAGCCACGCCCACAGAACCGGTAGTAAAAAAATTTAGAACCCACCCCTGTTCTAACCTTCTGAGCATTTTTTTGGGTAACAAGCACATTAAAAAACAAGCAAAGGACATACCTCCATGCAAAACACGAAGTGTATCTAATGCAAAGTTCTTTTTCCAACTAAATTGTGTTTTTTTTTAATTGCCAAATTTTATTGGGCTG